AGGAACAAGTGCCTTACTAGTAGTAACAAGAAGCTACTAGGAACAAGTGCCTTACTAGTAGTAGCAAGAAGCTACTAGGAACAAGTGCCTCGAGTTTGGGTAGAGTTGGCAGTGGTTTCTCTTGCCTGCGGCCGTGCCACCAAGAGGAACAGCAGAAGTCATTAATGACGTGGTGCCCCAACGTGCGTGGCGTAGATTCCTCTCCGGTCTCCTTTCCACATTGACTGAGTGTCCCTGAACACTGGCGAGGCTCATGAAGCTCCTCCAGAAGGGCAACATCGATACCCGGAAGCTCCGCTTGTGACCAAAAAGTGTTTCGTTGAGCGACTCCTGCGAGCGGCTCCAGCGGCATGCTGGCGACGGGCTGCGCCCAATTCGTTCCCAAGAGCTGCACCGTTTACGAACTAGACATGTGCCGGAGCGGCAGGGGGCATCCGATAGTGCTATAAGAACTTGATGAGCAAAAGAAGAGCAATTTTCGGATCTGAAAAGGACTGAACTGTGCTGCGAACTGGAACCCCACCGCAGAGCACCGCAGAACTGTGCTGAACTGGAACAGAAGTTCCGAAGTGGAACCCCACCGCAGAGCACCGAACTCGCTGAGGTCAGGCTTTGGAACGCGAGTTCGGTTGCCACCTGACGATCGGTCCGGCCTTGGAGCCAGGAGCCCATGGGCCTGAAGGGTGGGAGGCTCTTCGATCGTGAACGATCGTGAAGTATGAAGTGGTGATGAGTGAAGAGGTCGTGAACATATACTCCAAATCCGTAATAGCTACTAGCTAGCCATGCACCTGTTCCTAATAGCTTCACGCCACGGCGAAGACGTGCACACGAAAGCACCAGACACCGAAGCGGAAGCACTGGTGGCACCTGAGGTCAGGCTTTTACTACGATGGCTACTTCGGAGATAGGCGGCTTGGGGAAGAAAAACTGAAGCTTTATATAACTTGAGCTGGATCATTTCAGGCGGTACTTGAGTTGGATGAGCTAGCTTTCTTCGTCTCATTTCTTCGCCGTGTTACGTGGACAGATGTCACGTGGTCGTTCGAAGTGGGCTCTGGGGGCTCGGTTGGAAGTGCCATAGGAAGCTGAACGAGAATGACTTCAATGCCATCAACAATCATGCCACGCAGATTTGCAAGGACGGGAAGCGTTGACAACCTCTTCGCAGATTTGGAAGAAGCAAGGGGGTACAGGCTAGTAAGCATCAATCATAAAAATATTATGTATCTATCGATCTATACATCGATATACACCAATGATTTTGTGCAGAATTGTGTCAGGAGTCGCAGCTTTTTCAGCGATGTGTCCTCTCGAAGGAGGAGGTGCATGGCATGGTTATGGGGGTTGGCCCACCCGTAGTAGAAACAACTTTTCGAGAAGTTTTTGAACCAAACATGGTTCTTGCAATTCTTGAGCCATTGGTCATATATAGCCATTAGTACATTAGCCTACTTTTTTTATCGAAGAATCGAATTCCAGGCGCTTGAGCTCTTCAAAGAGAACCCCTTCAAGGCCCAAAGCGCTCGCGCTCGCGCTCGTCGACGACCGACAGGCGTGCTGAGCGTTCCGGCGAGTCGGACGCCGCCTCGCCGGTCCCGCGCCAGGTGCAGTTGATCACCAACAAGGCCGATGGCGACGGCGAGGAGCAAAGGGCATCGCTACGAATTAGGAGCATTTCGGGCGGGCATCGCGACTCGAACGGAGCGATCGGATGCTACTGACTAGGGTTTCTTGGCCTTACTACTAGGGGCAAGAAGCTATTAGGATCAGAAGTCAATTCGAAGTGGATGACGTCGGGGGTGAAGTGAGCGCTGGTGAGTGGCTTCTCAAGCACAGGTGCCAGATGGAGCAATGACGAGTTGCCTCTCCGCCCTGTGTTTTTTGTTTTTTTCAGATGTGGCAAGACGTGGCAAGACTCAAGATGTTGCACAAAGGCCCTTGATGTCCTTGAGTGAAACCTGATATTGCGTTGAATATGAGTTATGGAGTGGCGACTAAATATAGCGAGGACCTTTGTGGTGTTTCTTTTTGCGCCTGGCTACGCCGGACTGGTTTGCGGGAAGCCAGGCTACCGCTGTGGCGACCTGGTGGATCTCTGCCGCGGGCCCCATTTGCCAAACACGAACCGCGCCAAGGCGCGCGAGCGAGGACTTCGCCGGCGCCCGAGATGGAAGAGACAAGGAGATGGGTGGCTGAAGGGAAATTCCGTCATGTTAGGTCTATTGGTTAAGTTTGTTCTTATTTAACTAATTCATGTGTTCTTGATGTGTTTTGTTATGTTATTATCCTTTGTTGTTCTGAAGATCAGAGTGAACTTGATCAGATCTTGGAGTGGGGGAATGGTTCCCGTCTTCAGGATGGGATGCAAGCAAAAAGATTGAAACAGACTTCGGCATCACCCCAATCGCTAGTAGGTTGGAGGCCATTACTACTAGTAAGAAGCTAGTAGGTTGGAGGCGGTTCCTTTTCCAAAAAGCGCCCGTCACGTCTCCCGTTGCCGCCGCCGATGACATCACCCCTGTTCGGAGGCCTTCATGGTGACGAAGAACTCGGCAGCTTACTGGTCCGGGACCACACTCCGAGGCTTTTCCTTTCAAGAAGTATCTCGGTATTATATTGTTTATTAAGAAACGTCGTGCCCGCGCAACAAAGTCGATGAGAAAATGCAAATGAACTCTTTGCTTATTAAGGCACCTGTTACTACTAGCGTGGCACTTGTTACTACTAGCGATGCACTTGTTACTACTAGCTGTAAAACCCCTGAGAATCGCTCAGGCTGGGCGATCAAAACCTCGATTCCCTGCAACGGCTTTATGGCATTGCTTTCCCCAATGACAAGCTGCTGAAGGACGAAGAGTCATGATTGGGACGGAACCGGCGCATGGAAGTCAAACAGAAGATGGATGGTTGATTGAAGTACTTGTGTTTGATTTGAAATGGAAAGATCCTGATTTTCCCACGTGTTCGGCTTTTGGTGGGCGTGATTTGAGACAGTCGCTCGCGTTTTTTCGTCACAGCTGGCGGTGGATTGGTTCCGGCGGACAGACACCTCCGGTGTGTCTCATGGTGTCGCACCAACGTGTTCACCTGAAGGGAGATGGTTTCCGACCAGGAATACAAGAAGTTCCAGGAGGAAGCAGCCAAGCGCGATCACAGGAGAGTGTTCCGGCTGGTTCTCGATGGAGAATATTGGATGATGAAGGAGGATTTGTATAAGTACAAGTGTTTCTTTGAAAACACTATAAATAGTCAACATAATAGTGTACTAGTATCCTATATATCTATTAGTTGTGTTACTTGTTCTTTTTCCTGTGTTGCGGCATCCGACGGTAGACACTTAGATATTTAGACAACAGACAGTGTCTAGGCGGGTCGGCCGAAACGAGCGGCCCGCCACGGGTCGACCCGTGAACTGAGCCGGAACGCAGCGGTGCAGAGGAACATCGGAAAGCAGCAAGAGCTGATGATGTTGGGCCCTCGACGTCGAACATGGCTCGACCCATGCTGACTTCAGTGCGAAAGGACCTCCGGGTGTGGGTCAAAGCCAGCACACGGGTCCAGGAGGGTCCTCAGATAGACGGCTCTCTCAGTTCTCTGATATCTGAGAAGTGGGATACCGGATTTTTACCCACACCCATATCTTCACATTGAACATCTCCCACTTCTTTTGGGCTTGTTCAAGACCGCTTCTTCCCTTCGCTGAAAACGATTGAACCAATTCGGGTCATGAGGATCATGCTGATGCACTCGCTTCGCAGACCTGTTGTATTCCACCCACATGCTGAGGTTTCATCCTGTGATGTCTCCTGGCTGCTGCTTTTGGTTTCCACTTGGCACGAGGCGAGCATTGATGCAGACTCTGCGCATCGCTACTCGTGACGTCACCGAGGGTGTTGGTATATGTTGGTATCCTCGTGTTGAGTTGTTTGTCTCGTCTTTTGCAGAAGCGAAACAAACCTCTCATCGCTCCGTCTCCATCTCCGCCTGCCGAAGCTCGATTGCCACGGAGGGTCTACAACAAGCTGATGGATTTCATGCGAAGTGAGTACCGCCTTCGAGGATTTCAGGCCGGGATGTGGGCTTCCAAGTGTGTGTATGTGTCTTTGTGTATGTGTGTGGTGTGCAAAAACAAGTAAAAACAGCTTCTGACATTGTCGCATGATTTTTGTTGCCACTCGGGGTTTGTAATGTGGAAGCAAAGCAGGCGATTTGACGCAAAGACTCGTCTCTTGCGCATTGCAAATATGTTGTGTTTGATTCCCATGTTTATCCAGCCTAGCTACTTGCTACACACTATGTTTATTTGATCGGGAAGCTATCAGTCAGGTTGAGGCAAAAGGATCTACAAGACTGAAACCAAAAAGTTCTCTGAAACCCATGCATACTTTCACCTTGCTCACCCAGAAAGCAAGCAAGAGTGATAACGCGAGAGTGAAACCAGGAAGTGGTGACGCCCAATATGTACGACGCGCGGCTTTTCTTGGCTTCTGGCCACTACCAGAACTACAAGGAGCTTTTCAGCACCAACAGAGTGGATGGTGTTCAGCCATTGATTCCCCACATCTCGATGGGAGGACCATGAGTTCCAGATAGTTGATACTTCTTCAAAGATCTGTGAAAGGACGACATGTACAGCTTGGATGTGGAGAAGCAAGAGTCAGCAGCCTGAGTCGTGGATGTACAGATAGTTGAGTGGATCACAGACACATTCGACATTCCACGATCATCACCGTAATGCTGTCGACTTGAACATCGTCATGCTGTCCTGACCCAACAAAAGGACAGGCTTCCGGCTTCGTGACTTGCTTCGGCCTGCGCGCGCGAGCTGATTCCTGCAGGTGGATGCTGAAGCCCATGAATTGCCCTGGGCATTTTGTGATGTTCGATGCGCGGGTAAGGAGTTATAAGGCACGGTTTCGTCATGGTTCGTCATGCACAGCTTGGGTGTTGGCCAAAGATGACGAAGGAAGAAGTCTACTGTTGATGTGACAAAAAATGTTTTTTCCTGGCCAAAGTCGTCAGCCTGCGCGAAACTGACAGGAACTTCCTTTGCGCTACGCGGATTTTGGAGTCCTCCACCGAAACGAGGCCCTCTGCAAGCCGAAACTGGGATCGTTTCGACACAAGAGCCGGATCGTTTCGGCGGCTGACCTCGAAGATGAAGGAATCTGAAGAACTGTGGACAGATCTCCATTGGACCACCTGTTGAACAGTCGAAAAAGTCGACAAACACACGCAGCTGCGGCGCAGCGCCGCAGGCCTCCGGTGCCTTGACGGGCTTGACGCGGGTGCGGCGCTTCCAACAAGATGTGCGGAGTCCGAGATGGCGGTCGTCGTACGTGAGGTGGAGGTCAGGTGGAGGAAGTGTCGTGGCTTTGGGGACGGAGGTCGGTTGGGATGACGTATTTGGATGGTCAATTGAGATCCGAAGGTCAACTAGCTGTGATCCCCTATGTTGGGGCTTGTGCTAGCTGCTAGGCTGTGCTTTGCTGCGCCAGGTTGAAGAATGTTGAAAACCAGGCTACTTCCAGGACAGAATACAGATGAGGATAGATCTTTGGTTCCTTGTTGGTCACCTGAGAATGCTTTTATCCGACAAAAAGAACACAAGCAGACGGGTCTGTAGCCATCTTGTTCGAGGATGATTTGGATGATTGCTTGGAACCCCAAGCAACTAGCAAACAAATGGATGTGTTCACAAACCAAAAAAGCTTGTTATGCAAAGGATCTCACTTGTCACATTGGGTTTCCAACCAGTGAAGCAGCGAAGCAACTGCTTGGGACTGGGGTCTCACCCAGGTCGACCGATGTCCTAGCATTCTGAGGATGCGCATATCTTCTGCCGCCCAGACCAGATCAAGTCGGAAGTGGCCAGTGTGGACACCTAGCTGTGCCGGAGTTCCGCCGCCGACAGAGCTCACGCTCGCTCTCTCCGACCGTCAAGTCGGTTCCTGCCGAGCTTTGTCCGAAATCGGTGTTGGGGGGGGTTCCAGTGGATGGATTCCGATTCTATTTGGGGGGAACTCATCACGTTTTTCGTTTTTCTCGTTTTTCACGAGGTGCCCTGGATTTCTTGGATTTCGTCTACAAGATCTTTGGCTTCAAGGTGCAGTCGAGTACGATGTCTTCTTACGTGGGACGACGTGTTCCTCGAAGAATGGCTTCGTCGGAAGAGGAACGGCTTCCGCGTCGAATTCGGTGTGCACAGATGGTTAGACTCCGCTCTGCGGCAATTCTTGGGGCTCAAGAAACCCTAAAGGCAAAGATTGCTTGACTAACGGTCAATTTTCGCATCCATGGCCTTCCTGAAAGCCATCAAGTGCTTCAAGTCACGTGCCAAAGTGCTTCCTGAGACCATGTACCGAGTGCACCTGGAAAGTGAGGGTCCCTACGGCCTGATGCTCTGTGGACATGAGACCATCCAGTGTTTGGTGATCGTGAGCATTCAGAAGTCCAAAGCGGTGAAAGCTTGGAACAGCGACCATCCTCATTGTCCCTGGGATTTGCCAGTCGGAACGAGAGGCTACGTTCGTAACAAGGGCATTGCTACGGGTAACAAGATGTACAAGAACGCTACTAGGAGCTCTTGGCATTACTACTTGTAACAAAAACACATAGTAGCAAGAAGCTACTAGGTGGAGGCCATCGCTATTAGGTTGGCGGCCATCGCTACAAGTCCAACTCCATGATTGCTTCAAGGACGGGAAGGAATGCGTCGCTACTTTCGTCGGAGTAGTGTGGAAAAAGGTGGAAAAAGTATTGCTTCCAGTGAGCATCCCTTTTCAAGGAGGTTTGGACTTCGTATGTCTGCACTAATGGAGTTCGTGTGTCACTCTCTATGTTTTTTTCTTTTTTTCGACCACCCATGTCACAGACACACGATGACACTCACGATGACACTCCACCACCACCACCTCAGGTCGCATTGAAGAGGGACATAGCCTGATGGAAGTCAACGGCCACACGGAGCCGAAGCAAATGTTGGACGAGCTCCGCCGAGCGAAGGCCGTGGATCTCCTCGTCTCCGCGGAGCCCAACGCGCAGCAGCTCTCGGTCTTCCGAGCAGCACGCGAAGCTCGGTTGCATCAGTGTGTAGATCTAGGTACGGTCCTGTAGGTCTAGGTGGGAGACTGGACATTTTGGGAAGAACATGGACTGAACAATTTTAGGTTTTTTTTCGCTGTTTGTTACCATTGAAATACATGCCAATTACATAATACTCATTATATCATATACCCATGGTTTGAGCTGGCGAAACGCTGTGAAACAGCAGTGTTGCTTTGAAGGAGCTTTTCTGAGTTCTTTTCATGATGTTTTGAATGGACACATTCGGCATGTAGATCTCCGGTCCAAACCGGGCAAAGCCATACCCCTCGAGATCGATGCGCTCATTGGAACCCCCAACAAAAACCGCCCCAAAGAACACGGCCATGGAACGCTTCGGGAATTGCAGGCGCTGAAGCTGAAGTCCGATGCCGTGGACACATTTCTGGAAGAAGTCACGTCCTGTGACGTGGAACCCTGTTCCATTTGTCATGAGGAGATGTGCTGCCACAACACACACACAGCGCAGCACGCAGCGCAGCACGCAGCTGCTGTGGTGCGCTTGCCCTGTGGTCATCACTTCCATCAGAAGTGTGTCAAGAAATGGTTGGTCGGAGGGCGAGGTGATCCCCGCTGTCCCTTGTGCAACCGGATCTTCGAGGTGGCTTGCTGATCTTCGAGAGGTTGCCCGTTGCAGGCGAGACTGAATCAGGTGCAACGGAATACGGTGCTGAGAGGGCACCTGTTTTGGAGCGTGATGCATGAAGTGTTTAGTGGCATTTTCCGCGCTTTTCCGGAATTGCGCTTTTCCATGCTTTTCCCACCACATCAAACGTGGCCAGTACTACAGTTTGTTCGGTTCAGAATGTGACACGACTTTGTGTGCATCAGTTGCACGCCAAGGTCAATCTCGAAATTCATAATTTTTGGATATTGCATACTGGGAGCATCAGTTGCCCCACAATGTTGCACGAATTCAATTTTTTATACAATATCCTTGAGGTATTTGGCAAGGCAGCAGTTGCACGCCAAGCCCATCTGGATGAATTCGAAGAACGGTCCATGTTGCATCCTTTTCCCTTTCGCAGCAGCCATGATCTTTTTTCACTTCCAAGATCAGGTAAACCTTCATTTTCCCTGGGTACAGGTGACCTCTTTTCTGGTGAGATCCCCTTTTCCCTGGAGTGTTTGGCAGCAGTCCTCACCTCCGCCCTGGAGAGGACTCGCAGCTCCGAAAGAAATGCATCGCCTCCCGTTGACTGGAGCTGCCGTGGAGGGCAACACTTCTGTCCATATCCCTTGAAGAGGGTTGTCGCGATCGATCACAGTTTCAAGCTCTGAGAATGGCCCCAGCTGAGTGTACCATCTGAACAAAAACTCTCAGAGGACGACTCAGGCATCAGATTATCGTTGCAGCGTCGCAGATTCTTTTTGGAGGCCACCGCTACTAGGTTGGAGGTCATGGCTACTAGGCCATCGCAACTAGTTACTAGGTTGGAGGCCATCGCTATTAGGTTGGAGGCCATTCTTATTCCAGTCTCACACTCAACGAGATAGACGTGTCCCTTTGGCACCGGATTGTCCAATTTCATTGGTCCTTGATGGTCCTTGTCCAGGTGATTTTCCCCCGTTGCTGGCTTCTTTCTGTCACTGACGTTAAGACAGAGATCGAACCACCCAATGCAAACACTGAAAACATCGTTTGATCGATGTGGAGACAGCTTTGACCATCTGAGCTCAGCCATTTGAATCCCACCAATCGGGAAATTGAAAAACAAGAATGCGCAAAAAAACTCCCGAAATGTGGTGAAAAGCAAACGACACCATCGAAAACCCAACTCCCCGTGTGTTGTTGTTTGTTTCTGTTTCTCCAGAACGCCGTCGATCTCTTCGTCTCGTCCGGTCTCGTCTCCAGGCGAGTTACGCCTTGTCCACGCGGCCCAAGAAGGTTCGGAGCCGTCGACTCGAATTCGATCGAGACGAGGCCTTTCGTTGAGGTGTCTGAACCGAGCCGTGGTACCACGGAGCAAAGTGACCGGTCAAAAAGGATGTTTGTTTTAAGTAACTGAACAGATATGTTTAAGTACTAAAGATGTTAACTATAACATGTTTGAGTTACGATGTTTGAGTTATGTTTGTTTAACGTTATGTTTAAGTTATGTTCTCTTTTTTGAGCAGATAGCGCAGATAGCGACAGCTATGGAGTCCTTTCTTCAGCTAATGAGCTGGTTGTGGTTCTTTTGAGACGGACTATGTGGAGGGTGGCTGCCAGTACATTCTGTATAGTTCCAGCCAGCTGCATGTTAACAGCTATACAGAACTTGATTTTTTGGGGTTGTTGGGTTCTGCCTAGCTCTTTGGGGTCCATGCTGGTGCAAATCGTATCATTTATGGTAGGTAGGTCACTTTTCCCTTCGTGGGTTTGTGCACAGTGTGGTGGGCAGTGGACGGCTTCTCCCGCTTCCAATCTTGAGATGACTTCAGGCAACTACTTGTATGTTCAGATCCCATCAATGAGTCATGGAACGAAACTCAAGTTTCATTCGAATCTCTTGGATCCTCCTTTCCGCCGACCTTGTCAGGTGCACTGCCCCAGCATCCTGAGTAGCGGCGGTTTCGGCACATGCGGCAATCGGTCGTGTCGTTCGACCAAGGCCTTGGGCTCCAAGGAGATCTGGGACAATGCGGAGGTGCAGCTCAAGGTGCCCCGGCGCCACGAGTGCCGGGCCGAAGCACGGTTGAGACGGGTTCACGAAGCGGAAACGTGATGCAGCAAGAAGAGAGTGAAACCGCAGATGAAGAGAACGAATGGAACCGAGTGGTTTTCGACGCCTTGATTTCAGGCGGCCCTGGACCAGTCCGGCCGCGAGTGGTCTTTGAACCCTGGAGATGGCGCCTTCTATGGTGCCGGGCCTCGGACGAGTCGGACGGCCTTTCACAGCGACGAGTGGTGACGCATGGGAAGACAGACGGAACGCCGAGGAGCCATCAGTAGCCGAGTAGGTTTAGAAAGAACCGCCCCCCCTTAGATGAATTGAAGAAATTTGCATCATGTTAGCACACTGCTCTTTCATCCGTTTTCCAAACCAGTCTTGCTTTTTTGGACAAGTCTGGACCTGAAGAGCGACCTGTTTTTCTTCCGCAGATCAAAAACAACGATGAAGCAACAAGATGCAAAAAGCAACAAAAGATGAAGAGCTGAGCAAAAGATGAAGAGCTGATCCATCCGCCGATTGACCAAGAGCTGTCTCAGGTCCCAAGATTGACATCAGGCGTGTTTCACCTCGCCGAGCTGCGTGTCAAACGAAGAAAAGCCAAACAATTCAGTGAAGATGTTCATTTTTGTGTTTCTTTTGTCAGTGTCAGTGAACAATCAAGAATTGCAGAAGAAATAGAGCTAGATGGGGGCCGGTCTTGTTAAAGGGGCCCTTTGCACAAAGGAAACACAGCTCAATTTGATGTGAGCCCTGTACTTCAACCCACAGTTGCCATCTGATTTGGGAAATGTCCGCCCAGTGAACAAAGTTTGGAAATTCCACCTCATCCAAGGATGATCAAAAGTTTCATAACGCGAGGCGAGCATCAGGGTGATGGGTTCGACATGGCGCCAGGCTTCAAGATGCCATGAAGCGCAAGCATCAGTGCGGCACGTGGCCAGCTGAGATGCCGTTGATTTTGCTTCGGGCACTGAGGGCGTGTTCCGAGGGCACGAGGGCACTGAGGGCACTGCCAAGTCTGACTAGGTTTGAATCATTTTGAATCTATTTCGTTACTAGGTTGGAGGCCATCGCGACTATATAGCTTGGAGGCCATCGCTCTGGAGGCCATCTATTAAGGAGTTCCTATGACATGAATTTTCGACGTGGTTCACCTCTGGAAGATTGTGAGGGTTTGAACGTCCTTCCTTTCGAGTCATGCGTGGGACTTATAACAAGCACTGAGGATTCAGCTTGACTTCAACGGGCCAATCAGGAGACGACCATTCTTTGTCGGGACTTGGTGTTATCATGTCGCTTTTGAAAGGCAGACATCCGAATGTGAAGTAAGCTCCACATGTCACGCGAATTCAGCGATGTTGCGATGTTGTTGGAAGAAACAGAAATCAAGACGGTGGCGGAAAACCCTGTTTTTAAAAATAGAAATGAACAAATTGGTTCCTTTGGCAGGTTCAATTTGCAATACCGCAAAGAGGGCGTGGAGGAGACGGAGGACACAGAGGAGAAGCAGCACCCGCACCCGGTTTTCGGGACGTCACTGTCGCGGAGCGACGCACGGAGTGGTTCGGCACCGTTCGGGCTAGACACTTAAAGACTCTTAAGCAATGGCCTCCGTCCTAGTAGCGATGGCCTTTTAACCTAATAGCTCTCTTTTACAAAGCGCGCAGAGTCTGTTTGTTGACTTCGCATGTCATTCCCTTCCCCCCGGTGTGGTGTTTTCGAGATGTGGAAAACTGAACTGCGCCCTCCCTGGCAGCATCTCTCGCAGGAGAAGGGTGAGTGCGAGCCTCGAGCGGTCTCTCTCGCCTTGCCTTGGGGCAGGCAACAAACGCATCGTCAAGAAACTATGTTTACTGGTTTTGATCGGTATGACAGTTGAATGAAAAATAGTTCATGGAGCGTCCTTGCTCCTAGTAGAGATGCCCTTTGCTCCTAGTAGCTTCTTGCTCCTAGATCAACACTTTTTTGCGAGAAGTGTGCAGACATCTTGTTGCTCTTGGCAGAGGTCACAGGAGACCCTTTGAGAGGTCACATGCGTTTTCCTGCTGTTGTCCTGCAAGAAGCTATTACAAAAAAGAATTAGGATTAAAAGATATTAAAAGTAATTAATCCAAACTCCCATCAATTCCCGCTTTCACCTTTGACACTGAGGTTCAAGGGCGCGGAAGAAAAGAACGCCAAGGGCGAGGCCGCGACCTCTGTGGACTCTTGAAACTCTAAGAACCAAAGAGAGCACCAAAGAGTGTCAAAGAGTCCTGTCTCTACACTTCCCCCTTCGAGCGGTCACAGACGTAGCGTTCTGTTTGCTGAAACCGCAGCATTTGGGCTTCACACGACGCGTGCTGGGGCGCAGGGTGTGCTGGAGGCACGTCCAGACGACGTCCACGTTTTGTGTCGGCACAGCGCGGGTCGGATCTCAACTCCGCCAGGTGCCATGTCCGTGGTCTTCAAGCGCATTCCAATTGGCGGCAGCGCTGCTGTCTTCAAGGCACGGCCCGTCGACATGTTTACAGAAAAATGTTGAAAAGCAGCCCCTTGACCTGTTTAACAGCAATTCTACAGCAAGCCTTACTAAGTATTTGTTCCTTTCTTCCAAGAGCGACTGGTGGCAAGCTTGTCAAACCGAGAACGACTGGGCGTCCGCCACATCTCAGGCGCTCAAGACCTATCGCCCAGGGCCCAGCCTGTCGACGGTGCCGTCCATCACGAAGACCTCAGCTCCTTGGCACAGCAAGTACGCTACGAACGGGGCTCCTGATTCCTGGCCTTACTACGAACGGAGCGATCCGACGCGAACCGAACGGAGCATGTCGGGCATCGCTACGAGTCCGGAGCACGTACGCTACGAACGGGCCGCCCAGGGGAGCAAGGACCTCAGCTCCTTCGCACGGCCGACGCAACGACGACGTTTCCCCATCGCCGGTGACGAGGGGGAGGTGACGTTCGATGCGCAACG